CATGCCGCCCGCTCCCGACGACCGCTCGTCTTCACTGCGTACCCATTCACTCCGCTAGTGCATCCCGCAGGATCAGCGCATCCCCCGTCGACGACTCCATGCACATCTGCCTCAACGGGCGGTGCATCCCAAGGTCCACCCTTCGACGAACACCGTCCGGCCCGACCTCCCACAATAGATTGTCGTCGAAGGGGATGCCCGCGTTGATGAGTATGTTGTGGAGAATGCAGACAGCGACGAACTGCTGCGGCAACGTGTCCATGTTCGTTTTGTGGGAGCGAAGGAACAACCTCCACATCCCCTTCAATCTGCCGAAAGCCCTCTCAACTGCTCCCCTCGCCGTGTTCTGCTTGTTGTCAAACTGAGTCTCCGACGGGTGCTGCGATACACCGCCGTAGGGGACGACTACCCATTCCGAGGGGGGGTAACCGTTGTTGCCCAGTAGATAGTCGTTCGTTCGCACACCGAAAGGCAGCATGACAGGTGGCCCAGTGAAAATCTCCCCTGCCTCCGCACGCGCCCACAAACTAGACAGGTGGACGATCCTCATGTCGTGGCAGCTCCCCGGGTATCCGACGAACACATCCAGCACGTGCAAGTTCAGATCGACGACCACCTGAGCCTGGACGGAGAAACGACGTTTTTTGTCGTAGTAGTCCTCTCCGGGGCAATTGGCTGGCTTGTCGATGAAGATGTGGATACAATCGATGCAGCCATGGCAGTTGGGGAAACCCTTGTCAGCGAAAGCGCGCAAGACGACCGCCTTTTGCAGCCCCGTTGGCCATGATGTCTTGTCGCTGTACGCACTCAGCAACGCAGACGTAACATCCCGCACAGCCACCAACCCACACTTTCTGCCAATGCCGAAGCTGCACGTCCCGCTCTCGTACGTCTCCCCCGACGCCCATCTGTACAAAGCGAACGCTACGATGAGGTCAGGCTGGAGGGGCTCCCTATAAAACGTCACACACCGTTGAAGGAAGGGAGACAGAGTTTCCGCTATCTCCCGGAACACCCATGGCGACATGCACAGCTTGTCCTTGAAGTAGTCTTCCGTCGCGTCGTCGCATTGCCGCAGATCCTCCCACACACCCCCTGTTCAACGCTTCATCCACCACCTCGGCGTCGCTTTGGGAAACGCTCCACACCCCATGGCATAGCACACCTGAAGGACAGCGTCGCAAATGGCACCACTGCCCTCTTCGTCCACATGAATGGACTGCAGCGTCTTCTTCCGGCGTGCGCGAATGGCTACTCTCATCCTCCCCTCCATCCTCTGCAATTGACACCTGATGAGTATCATGTTCACGGCCGCTGCCACAGCCGCCCTCTCCGCCTTGCTAAGTGCGTCATGAACTGCGTCCCTGTCCACGTCCATCGCTCGTCCTCGCCAAGTGAAGAAGGCTCGACTTCGGTGGGAACAACAGCGATGGCGCGTCGTGAAAACCCGACTGAACGGCGTGCACGCCGACGGCGAAGGCGCGCGTAGCGAAGCACACAACGTTGGCGATCGTGTGACGGCGGCCGTGCTGCTTCGGACGTATTCATGGACGTTCGGCGTGCCAGCAGACCCCACGAAGCCACCACCCCGTACCGAAACAGTCTCACCGACGAACGTTGCTGCCGTCAGCCGTAAGGGACACACGCGCCGCCGTCATTCGCTTACTGGGATTCGAATTTCGAAATTCGAATCCGGGACTGCGCGCCGTTTACGTGGCCTTTTTCTTTTCGCCGCGTAAATTCGAATTCGCGCCGCCCACAGCTCCTGGACCAAGGGCGACGCCACGGACACAACCCGCTGGACCAACCTCGCCAACCCCCCCGCGTGCGCGTGTCGAAATATGCAACTGGCCGCGGGAGCACCCGAGGAATCGTCCTCGGGGAACATTTCCGAGGATGAGTGGAACGAAGGCGGGAATTTCCTCGGGCGACTCCAAGGAATCGTCCTCGGGCCCCGAGGACGCCCCGAGGAGTGTGGAACGAGCCCCGGAGTCAGCTTAACGAGCCGTCAGGTCGTTTTCGACTCTCTTCACAATCTTCACAATCTTCTTTTTCTCTTTTTTAAAGTCTTTTTCCCAACAAATCATCTGCTTCTGTACTATCCATAGTGGTAAAAAAAAAAAAAAAAAAAAAAAAAAAAAAAGGTAAGAAAAACTATCTACAGAGGATGTCTTACAGTACATCTATGGGCCTCACTCGACTACACAACATCCTACATGTATCTGGACTCGACATTCGACCACGTACATTTGGACTGATCCAACATTTTGAATGTATTGGGCCATATGTTGAGCCACATACATTTGGAATGCAGTGCAGCTGAGCAAGGCCCTACTACAGCTGTTGTGGGGCCAAAGTCTTACCAGTACCTGGATTTGCCCCAGGTGTCAGCGATGCCAGTTTTTCTTTTCCTTTTCTTTCTTTTTGGTGCTCTGGGGTACTGATTTGCCCCAGGTGGCAGCCATGCCAGGTTTTTTTCCTGTTCTTTTTCTTTTGGTGCTCTGCTGGTTCTGTCAGTATGGGTGTTCCCCAAAAAAATAAAAAATAAAAATAATGCAAAGTATTGACCAAGTGGCCTACCTTCTTCCGCCCAATACAACGCACGGTGATTATAGCTGTATTTGAGGCATCTTTCAGTCATGATACAGCTATATAATGACAGTACATAGTATTCGGGGGAAGAAGGTAGCCCAGTTGCCATACCCATGTATTATTGAAACACAGACCTACAGAGAAGATTAGCACCGCCCCCGCGCTTTCAAGGATGACACTCATAAATCGAGAAATGGTCCCGACCTGAGTTTGAATCCAAAGGGAGCAAGATGGATCAAAAATAGGGGAAACTCCGAGGGAGGCACAGAAAGAAAGGAGTTATAATTGCCCTATAGCCCAAGATACCACATTGCCAAACAACAGACTTGTACCAGAGGGACGCCAACGCCATGTTGATGATGACCAGGCTGTCCCGGAGAGATGATTACTTGATGCTGGTATTGAATCATCCCTCCAAAATGCCCTTTATATTCGTGTTATACAGGGAAGCTGTCTCCAGGGGAGCCGTGGCTGAGGCTCTTCCAGCCCTAATGGGAAGAGGCATTTTTTTTTTTGCCCGGAGAGATGATTACTTGATGCTGGCATTGAATCATCCCTCCAACATGCCCTTTGTATTCGTGTTATACTGGGAAGCTGTCTCCAGTGGAGCCGTGGCTGAGGCTCTTCCAGCCCTAATGCTGTCTCTTATACACATCTAGATGTGTATAAGAGACAGCCTTCCTTACTGGGGAAGCAATCAATGCCCCGAATGCCCTTTATATTCGTGTTATACAGGGAAGCTGTCTCCAGGGGAGCCGTGGCTGAGGCTCTTCCAGCCCTAATGGGAAGAGGCATGTTTTTTTTTTGCCCGGAGAGATGATTACTTGATGCTGGCATTGAATCATCCCTCCAACATGCCCTTTGTATTCGTGTTATACTGGGAAGCTGTCTCCAGTGGAGCCGTGGCTGAGGCTCTTCCAGCCCTAATGGGAAGAGGCGTGTTTTTTTTTTTTAAGTGTTGTAATCAATTTCATAATAATTGGAACCTTGGGCACTGGGCCCCTTTTTCTCAAAAAAAACAAAACAAAAAACATTGATGATATCATTCCCTACAGAATTGGAGGGAAAGAATTTCATATCCATACTGCTCATAAACTGCGACCTTGGTGTTTCTGCTGCAAGGCATATGGACACCTTAGTACAGACCCATCCTGTGTCGAAAATCCATCACTCGCGCAAAGGGCGACGGGGAGTTTAAGTTTTTTTTTTTTGAGACGATGCTCCAATCTATTCGTGGGAAGCAACGGCTGGGAACCGGGCCCAGCGTCTCTTATGAGAATACAGAAATTTGAGACCCCTTTAAAGCAAATACGTGGAGAACGTTGGATCCGGGACATGGAGGATGGGCTTATGTTGAGAATTCTTCCAATAGCAAATGGGGCTAAAGGGTTGGACATGGGAAAAGCAAGGGGAACCAAGCTGGGACACGAAACCCCTGGAAAATTGAAGCCCTCCTGCCCACTCTCCTCCTCCTGCACAGCAAACAAAGCAAACACGAGGGATCGCACCTCAGATAGTACAGCCTGTGCATAAGATCTCCACAATTATGAAGGTTGTTGGACAAGGTTCGGTTGAACCGGATCCAAAAGACTCCCCGGGAGTGGTAGAGGTGTCTACTCTTACCAGCACCCCTAGCACCCTCTCGGGTTGTTTTGTGTAAAAAAAAAAAAAAAAAAAAAAAAAAAAAAAAAAAAAAAAAACTAAATCAAGGAAACAATTCAATCCCCTCCTTGCTTGAACCACCCAAAGGGTGGGATACTGGATTCGGAGCAGCAAATGGAACAGGTGCTTGAAGAGGAACAGGGAGGGATAATGGATCAGGAGCAATCGTTGATCAAGAGAAAAAGACAAATACAAGGAGGAAAAAAAAAAAAAAAAAAAAAAAAA